TCTTCCGTGGGTCTGGGTGTGCTGAGGCTGCTGTGCTTTAAGAAAAAATTGAGGCAAACTGGGAGGCTTCCAGAAGGTTGCAGCAACAGGGTAGTTTTAGAAAATATGACTCTGAGCCAAGACAATCTGTTTAATAATGAAGATAAGAGACAAACATCACAGTTTTGCAAAGAGTAGGTTAATAAGACAGTTGCTCTGCATGTTTGTAGAAAGGCAAGATGTAGTAGGAAATTTTAGGTAGGCCATAAAGGAAAAATGGCTAACCATGGTGCTAATCATGTCGTAGCGTAGAGCTAGCAGTGTTAGAAGTGGAATTTCCTATGGTGGAGAGTTTTCTTTAGAAGAGATTTGGAGCCTGTTGCTTCTGGAGGTTACTTCCCTGGCTGTATTTCAGGTGCTCTGCAATGATGTGCTGAAAGGGTAAGGAGTTTTGTTTTGCTGAAGGACTGCCTGCCTTAGGTGTTTGATAGGTTAATATTAAGCCTGTCTGTTTCTTTAATTTCTTCCTTTAAAGAAGTGGATGTGGTGAGTTTGATTACCGCTTTTAGAGAGAGAAACTTCACAGCTGTTTTGCAAGAGGAACTTCAGTGGCCGTGATTTGGGTACTGAACAGCTCAGGATCAGCATCCGCAGTGAGCGCAGCAGTTTTAACTGCTGAATGCACCATTGACTGCTGCACCTCTGAAACCTCAAGGGCTTGTGTTAGGGAAATTAAATGCTTCCTATCACCTTTGGCGGTGCAGGTTTAAAACGTGTATCTATAGAAGGGCTCAATATAATAGAAAATGTCTGTGAAAGTTCCCCAATGCATTCATTGGGGACCACTTGAAAGGCAGTGAGAATTACTGGAAGCATAACATCTACTTTTACGTTTCAGGATCAAGCCACAATTATTTGGAACATGGTCATCTCCCCTCACTAGCTGAATGAAATTATTAAGGACAGTACCTTTTTTAAAGAAACCATGTACAGCCTGTTTTGAGTAAACTGATTGTATTAAAACACCAAATTTAAAATTTGCATCTGTAATATTTACACAAAGTCGCTATTTTTTGTTAATGGTTAAAACATCAAATGCAAAAAATATGGTAACACTTTTAATTGCTTAAATATTGCTTAATTACTGTTTACAATAGTTGAAGGAATAGCTGTTCAAACAAATGACTAATGCCTTGGTTTGAGAAAGACCAGATTGACTCACTCTCTGAAGTTGACTCCTGTGGCTTGCAGAAATGCCTGAGGGATCTCTCTGTGTTATATATGTAAGTAGCTTCTCAGCCAGTATAAAGTCAGGCTGGTTTGAAGTTGTAGTTGGTTTCACAGGTTGGAGAAGTATATGGGATAGGATAACTTCTTAAAATTAGTTGGAAAAGCATTTCCATGGAAAACTGACCTGTGCTGTACTAAGTCTGCTTGCAGCTGAGAGGTTGCTCGAGTTGCAGGGAGGAGTCCAGGCTGGAGGTTAAGAATAAGGTGATTTGGTTAAGGGGAATCGTTGTTAATACTTTTAATAAAGTACCAGGTTTGTTGATGTTAAGTGCTACTAATGTTTCCTTGAAACACATTACTCCTATAGTAAGTGAATGTTATGAGAAGGGGTTAACTGAAGTTTTTGGTTTGTTACCCTGTAGAAACTTAAAATATGCCTTATCAGGATGGAAAGATCAAGGAATAGGTTAACTGGGATACCTTTTGCAGGTCAAATCAGGTCAGTAAGACATTTCCATGGCATATTTTCAAAGCAGTACTGTTGTTAGGTAACTTCCGTGAGCTTCTTAGCCCACATTCGCAGACAGGGAGGGCAGTAGGCTTTTTGTATAGAAAGTGGTCTTTCTACTGGAGAAAAAATTTCAGATGAAGTCTAACTAGTCTGAAGGAAAGACTGCAAGGAGAATCCTAGTCTAGAGAGATCATAATATTAACTTTAACTGTTTGAGAGACTTTTATCTACAACAGTTCACTTTGGTTTTAGAACACTTTAGGAAAGCATTATTTATCTCTGACTACAGAGTTCAAGAATATCTCTTAACAGCTACTTTTAGGGGTTGCTGAGAGTTGGTTTGATTGTGAGAGTGGACTGTGTTTTCCCACCACATAGAGGGGAAAAAAAGATTTTCCTCTATTAGATTTATTTCTTTTTGTGTTTTTAGATCAGAGAAATCATTACTCATGAATTAACGTAGCTACAAAGTGTTTATTGCAAAGGAAGCAGATGCTATTTAAAAAAAAAAAATCAAAAAGAAGCCACATAGGCAAAAATATTCAAGCTGTCCTCATTCAGTAAATCAGCAACAAAGATCAGGATGTAAATAAACATACGTTAAAATTTCTATTAGGAAAAATGTGTTTTTGACTATTAGTGTCTTGTTAAGGAAGTGCAATGAATGTCTGAAATAGGGATAGAGAAGAACTTTGTAGCACAGCTTGCAAGAGAATGTACACTTTCTACAACTACTTCACTTCATTAAAAAGTGTATTACCTTTAATGTAATACCTTTGTAGCCCCAGGGTAATTTTCCAAACAAAGTGCAGCTCTTAACTTACAATTTGCGAGGATAGATTGGAAAGCATTACTTCAGCAGTGGCAGGGTGGGAGCGCTCTGTGCCTTTTCAGCTGTGTTTCTTGAGCTCTCCTGACGTGAATGCCAGGTCAAAAGCTTTCCATGTGTATATCTGCTAAATTTTTTATTATTAGGTATGAAATATACATTGAAGTCTCCTTACTGTAGGAAAATAGGAGGTCGTTAGTGAGTACTTATACAGTCAGGGTGAGCAGGAAACCTCTGTAGCTGAAAGTGTGATATGTTACAGTTTGACCTAAAGACCAGTACTTGTTACTTGGGTCTGTAACAGATTTGTGTCCTCTAAATTACATGGAGAGGGAAATGTGTGTGTATTTCAGCATGACTGAAATGTGTGCGCGCATACCAATATTCCCAACTATAAACAGGCAGTTGCCCTACAGTTAGTATTAAACATGCATTGAGCAGGATTCAACACCTTAGGGGCCTTGCTCCATTGTAGTGATTACTTTACAGTGCAAAATTCACATTACTGCTTAGCATGTCAAATGCAGATGCAGGGTAGGACCTCAGAGGAAAGAGCTGTCTTTCTGCACTGTCTCAGCCCACCCCAGAGCTCTCTTCAAACAGCTGTGATGGTAATGACAGTGTAACTTTAGAGAAACAGCTGTCAGTATAACTCATAAAATGTTTTCTAGGCTCTATAAGTCATCATTTTCACTCTGGGGGCCACTCAGACTCTTTCAGGCAAACAGTCCAGGGACAATAACCAGTGCTCAGCACTTCAGAGTCAAGGCTTCTGCTCTTACTGACCTAGCGATTACAGGTGAAATGGCATGGAGGCAGTATAAAGGATCTTTATTGAGTAGCCTGTATATTTAGCTCATGCTTTAAGCAAGTGTCACCAATAGTTGCATAATTACCAGCCCAGAAAAAATAGATGTTTATCATTTGCCTTCCAAGAAGGTCCACATGAGTTTCAGGGACTCGCTCCAGAAACAGACGTTTTTTTCAACTCTGATGATTCTGCTGCAGTCAGTGAGGTTCCAGATGTCAGCTGGATGCTTCTTAATGCAACTTTCCTTTTCCAATGAAAAACCCACACTGTTCTCTTAAATGATTTTAGTTAAAGAGCTATGGCTATGTGGAAATATCAGCATGGCTCTGTCAAACTTGCCTTTAATGAGCACAGAGGGGTCTTCACAGAACCTAGGATACTGAAACGCTGTCCTGTCTTTGGCCACAGAAGACTTCATCTAGTTTAATTCTGTCCAACAAAAAACATTAGACTCCTAAGATTATTACGATTATTTGCAGGAAAAAATATCTATTTTTCTCCCTCCTCATAAGAACATTTTTTTCCCCAGAATTGTCCAAAGCTGTCTGTATTCTGACCAAGTGAAGGTAATTGGCCTGGCGTTGCTTAATGTCCTTAATTAGCACCGTCTTTGCCAGTGATGTTATCTTTCCTAGGAAAAAGCAATATCACTTCTCTAAACCTTTACGTTTTTAAAAATACAGCTGTCATCTTAATACAACTCCAAAGACTGTTAGAGATTTTCTCTATCTGTCTCTCTGTGCCTCAGTGTCTCTTTTCTGCAAAACCATTGTTCACCATTTCAGCCACCATGGTTGCCCTTCTAATTTTCCTCTTATTCCTGCTAGCTTTTATTGTTTGATGATGAGTAGTGTAGTATTCAGAGCATTTTGCCTAGTGCCTCAGCTGAGAGGCTGCGCTGTTTGCAGAGCAGAGGGGAGTGCTGGGTGAAAGAGCATGGCGAGTCCTTCCCTGCTGATGTTGACTGATTTCCTTCATGAGATTTGACTTCCTTGACACTCACCTTCCCTTGCAGAGGGTGTGTTTTGCTTCTGTTACAGCTGGGACTCAGCTGGCATTTGGGTGGGAGCTGAATTCACCCTTAAGAATAGCCAAAGTGCAGCCCACGCATCCTCAGAACTCCAGTGTGATGGAAGGAAAATAATACAAGGTAGTGCAGATGTAAGTTTAGAGCTCTCACTCCTATTTGAGTGGGATGAGGTAGATCCTGTGGTTTTGAAAGTGAGCAACGGCCATGTAAAAAAAGGAAATGTTTCTACAATCAAAATAACTAGATATCTGAGGGGTGGTATGCTATATAATATTCTTACAATGACTAATAATCTAGTGTGTTTGCAAAAGCTATATGCTAGCATATATAGGAGTACATTCATTTTAAAAAACTGCATTTCTTTAGAGAGGGTGATATTCATTATATACAAGTGAAACTAAGTATGAGCATGCTGCCAGTTATTATCAGAAGTTCATAATTAGGAAATTGAACAATCATCTGTTCTTGTTTATTATGTTTCTTCTACTTTGTCTGTCTTTTCCATTAGGTGGTATCAATTTTTACAGTTACTTCTCTGAATTTTCTTAAATTGGCATTTGGCATGCCAGCATGCTAATTAAGAAGGCTGAATTTTAGCCTGTTCTCTGTTTTACTATACGCTATGCTTGTTTGTTTCTAGTCCTTGAAATGAACTGCTCTTTCCATAATACAAATATGCTTAAGTAAAAGTTACTATCTAAATTGTTGGCTCCAATTCCTCATTAAAATTCTTTCTAAACATAAATCTCTGATTTGCAGCCAGATTAAAAACACACATGCTTGTAGTTTGGGAATTGGTTTTGGGAACTGAGCTGAGAAGGTCTGCACAAGCAGAAAGTCATCAGCTAGAGGAACTGGTCTGATTTAGACGTGTGGTACTGTGCTTGTATTGGTTTTAGCCTCAACTGTTTTGATTTTGTATCACCAGGGTCCTCCAGGTCCTCCAGGTTTACCTGGTCCGTCAGGAAAGAGAGGTCCTCGGGTGAGTAAAACGGTTATGTTCCTTATGTAGCTCTAGGCAGATCACTGATAATCACACTGGCATCTGGAATCATGTTATTTTTCTCAGCTGTATTCATTTGCTTGCTGAAAGTGTATGATTCTTAAATTTTGGGAGATAGGTTCGAGTAAGGCAAGGTAAGCAGCATTTTTTTTCCTGCTCTAAGTATCCAGCAGAGTTAACTCTGCATGGGTGTGTACACAGGGCACTGTTAGGTTTGCACTTAGCTTTGGCTATTTGTAATACTAATTTTTAGTTTTTGCATGCTGCTTGCATCTGCTGCTCGGCAAACTAAGGTCACGTTTTGTTTCTGGAAGGAGGGGGAGGGTGCAATCCCTGCCACAGACACGCAGGTGGTGGAAGCAGAATTAGCTGCTGCTGGGCAGGGAAAAATAATCCCCAATAATTGGTTGTGGTCTCTTGTGCGGCAGCAGCTTGATAAAAGGAGTGATATCTGCCTGCATGCTTGCTCAAGAAAAGAGATATTACAGCATACACACATGTGTGTGCTTGTGGCTGGGTGCTCCCTGGTGCGGGTGGAGGCAGGGACCTTGCCCCATGCCATGGTCCCATGTCTCGGCTGCTGCCGTCGCCCAAGACGCTGGCGTCGCTGCAAGGGCTCACTGGCGTGGTGAGCGAGGGCAAATCCTCTCTGGTAAATCTATGTTTTCACAGCCGTGTGCCTAAAAATACTTGGTGGGTCCCTTTGGCGGGGGGTCATGAGGGGCAGCCCGAGAGAGCAGGGGAGGGTTTGTCAGGTTTGGGGCCGCGGAAGCTGAGGACATGGTGGTGCCTGTGGCTGGAGCACACTCATCTAGCCAAATGGTGAGCGAAAGAAATAGTTTATATGAAGGCTCAGCTGATGTGTGGGAGTTTTGAGTCAGCCTTTGAAAGAACATTTAAACAGGCTGTCGCTCAAGAGCATGTTGAAACCAATCTTGAGCATCCTACACTTTGCTGCTGGCTTTCAAAACTTGGAGTGGCCAGGTAGGAAAGTGCACAGGTGAGAGGGGCAGAATATTACACAGGTGGTTTAGAGCAGGTGGGCATCAGGTGAGTGGCTGAGAAATGTTTAAAAGTATAAAATGAAGACACAGTTCCTTCAGATCCATATCTTCCTGATTTCATTTCCTGGGTCCCTCTTTCAAATTACCCTCCTGTATCAGAGCTGACAGCCCCTTCAACTGCTTCAACTTTGTACGCTGCTGATCTGTACTGCCTCTGTTCCTGCATCAAGGACAGGATCCCGCACACCAAGGAAATCCTCATAAATGGGTACTTATCTTTGGTTTAGATGAGGCTGCCCAGGTGTTGATACGAATTTTATCTCCACAACTATCAGTCTGCCCTGTAACTTCTGTCTTCTGCCACATGAGTTGCCGTGTGGGATCTTGAAATGTGGCTTGCGGTGTCAAAGTGAGGTGGCAGCGCCGCATTGCCTGGGCCTTCTCCAGGGCTTCTCAGGTCTGGATCTGATCCTGACACAGGTTGGATGCTGTACCGATGCCTGAATTACAGATTTCTGTTGAAAGTTGATTTTGATCCCTGCAATTTGATGGGTAACCCCGTAGTCCATTCCTGTTTTGATGACTTTTATTTTTGGACCAGCTTTGTCCAATGTTTTATCAGCAATGAGACCAAATTCCCCTAAAGACTCCCAGGCAGCCAGGATGCCTTTGCCCCTCTGTGTTGCAGCACTTCTTCATCTGTGCCCCCTGATTCCTAGTCTTTGGAGCCCCGTTAGCACTGTAGCTACACTGGCACTTTCTGTTTGTTTCTTTTCTCTTAAATCTCTGAGAGCCTCCAAAGTTGCCTATGTGCAAACTAATCTCTCCAACAGCATGTGGGATCAGCGTTTCTATGAAGTTATGTCAACATTATTATTAGTGAGAGCAAGCCCTTAAGAGGTATAGCTTTCTGTGTTACTGCAAGGTATAATTGGTAAATTCAGAGTCATATGATGGAAAAATAAACTCTGAGTTTATCCATTGTAAAACCGCTGACTTTGAGAGAGTTGAAACAGATTTTTATTATTTTGGTGTTTGGATGAATTGTTTGGGTAAAATTTTGGCCTTCGTGAATTCAACAAAAGCTTTGCTGCCAGGGATGAGATTTCACTAGTTTGGTTCTTCTGTGTTTGGAAAATGAATAGCTGCTGTGTCAGCCTTTGGGACAAATATTTTCCCTAATGTCCAGTTTCTCAAGGAATCGGGGTTATGCAGCATGCTGCAAGAACAGATGCTTACCCTGGATAGCATTTTAATGAGATATAGGTGATCCTGATACCCCATTCTGTTCCTCTTAGTTTCTGTAACAGTGCTGAAATTGTTCTAGTCAAACTGTATTAGCAACAGGCCCATTTCCTAAACTGGATGTAGGAGAATCAGGTTGGTGAAGGGTTTTTGTCAGCAGTGATTTGTTTAGAGGAGGTAAACAAACCTCCTCTGCTTTGAATTGTCTTTGAAGGCCGTGAGAGCTGATCCAGTTCCTTCCTTTTGCAGTGTATAACAGGGTGCCTCTGCATGTGATCAGAATTTTTCTTTCATTCCCGTGCCTCCATATTTTGTAGCTGGAGGATGACATTGCAGTGACTGCCTCCCAAATACCTGTTCGAAATCACTTGGGAGGACAATAAAAACTGAGATTTTTAATGGAAAGGAAAGTGCTTAGCTTCACTTTTAATTTTGAGGAAGAAGGGCTGTTTGTTTGTGTCTTTGTTTTTAAGAATCCATAGAGAATTCCAGCTGATGGTTCTAAAAGCAACAATGGTACTGTGAAATGGTTCTCTGCAAACTGTTCTCAGTTGTTCAGTGGGCTATGGAATAATCCTTTCCTTTTATTTTTAGGGTGTTCCAGGACCACATGGTAATCCAGGTTTGCCAGGATTGCCAGGTCCAAAGGTGAGTTATTTATCCATACTGAATATGTGAACTTCCTAATCACTTTTTGGAAAGCATAGACCTGTTTCATATAATAGCGGCAACTGGCCTTCTTTGGTTTACAAATGGAGACCATAACTATAAACAGTTTTAAGTTAAATGTAACTAATCAAACTGAACTCCAGATCAAAACAAAAGAGCTGCTTTCTCAGGGGGGAAAAAAAAACCTGTCTGTGTGCAGAATGATGACCTGGAAACTCTTATCCATGCAAGTGTTCTGTGCTTCCTAAAAGAGTTCCTGTAAATCAGCCCAGCCTCTTTGATAAACTGGTATTTAAATGAGAATAAACATTTAATTGCAGTAACATTTTGCCTTGATTAAAAACAAACAAAAAAAAGATTGAGTCATTATTCATAAATTCTTCTTTTTTTGCCAGTGCCTGACCTTTCGTATTTAAATGCACTAATATTTCAGGCATTATGACTTGATTTATATAATGGAATAATTTCCAGTAGATTTATGGATGTGATATTTAAAACCAAAGGGAAAAAAATACTAGATCAGGGAGCTCAAATAAAACCTTTCCAACTTGTGTAACGTAGGCCATTTAAATAGATTTGACAGATTTGTGCAGTTGCAAAATGCCTTCAACTCATATTATCTTGAACCATTTGATAGATGTGTTAGGAAAAAACAAAAGCAACCGTGATTTGTTTTAGTGCAGTTCCTTATGGCAGCAATCTGACCTGTCATGACAGGTGTTAAAAACGGCTTGAGGTCATAAAAAGGCATGTAATAAAGCTTATGATGTTAGACACTGTGAAGCAATGTAGCTTTGTGTTTCTTGTGTCCTTTTATTATTATCTAGTTTTATGGGAACATCTAAACTTAGAGACTTGCAATTAATGTTTAGAATATTTATGAAGGCTGTATAACAGAGTATATTGCTAGGAAAATAATTGCAATCAATTACTCCTCAGATTTGTTTCATAATGTATTTCGCCCCTCCATTAGATCATAATTCTGATCAGTTCTCTAGCTAGTTCCATGCTTTTAAGAGTAGAAAGCAATTTTATACATTATATATAATGTATGTGTGTATTCACACACACATGTATATATGTATGTATATATTTACTATGTGTTTAGCAGTCTAACAGAAACTAATGACTGTAAATTACTCATGTAATTTAAGTATCTTTTAAAACAGTTTTAATTGCATAGAAATGAGCCAGGTGCTCACCAAGGATTAATTATGAACAACAAGTTGACTTGCTCTAATTGTGTAAGCTGAAATGAAAAACTTTTTTTTTTTTTAACCTTAAAAATAGTAGACAAGTCACAGCAATGTTCTGGCAGTAACTTAGCATATGCTTTTATTCTGCCTTTGATGTACATGCATTTTTCCCTGCTATGCTGAAGCATCCCTTATGCACTTACTTGAAGTGTGGAACAACATTAATTAATATCCTTTTAGTTTTCTGCTACTGACCACTTCCAGCTGAGAGTCAGATTCTGCCTCTAAGTGTGCGTTGGCAGTTCCAGTTGATAGCTGCAGCTCCTCAGCATTTAACTCATGATAAACAGGTGACGTGTTTTAAAGTCACTTAAAACTATGCACGAGGTTTATCTCTATTCCTGACTTTCTATAATAAAAAAAAAAAGGCATTATTTCAAGAAAATCTAGTTTGCAGATGCTGGCTGCTTGTTTTAAGGTTAAAAGTAACATTGAATTAATTATGCTTATAGGCAAAAGGGAGGAAGGGAAAGGCTGTGTGGGTACCTTATGGAGAAGGCCTGTGTTTTAACTGGCTAAAGACTGACCAAAATTTTACTACCACCCTTATTTTAATATGCCCCTGCTGGACAGGGAAGTGGAAGACAGATTGGAGTTGTTCAGGGAGTATAGCAGTTTACCTACCAAACTGTAAATCCACTGGAAAATGCTCCGGTAACTTTTACAACGCCGAAGAACCGTCTTCTGTGTGGCCTGACATACCAGGTCAACATGACAGATTCATTTTGCCATAATGTTTCCAGGATTCAGCAAGCTTAGTTTCTGCTCAAGTGGCCTCACAGCTACAAGCGTAAGCTGCAGTGGCCTAACTCTCGACCTGACGCAGCGTGCGCAAGAGGAGGATCAGACCCAGTAGCGTGTCAGATGAAAACCATGTATGTTACAGGTCTAAAACAGCTGACTGCCAGGCAGGCTCGTGCTGCTCATCGTGTGCGTCTCTCTGAGCAGCGAGCGTTGCCCCCTTGGGCGCTGCTTGGCTAACTAGAGCTTTCCAGCCAAGGGTGGCAGCTCTTCCAGTTTGTCCTCAGGGTGCCCGGCCCACACCCTTCTCGTTGAAGGCACAGGTAGTCGTCTTCGCGCCCCTTGAAGGGCAGGGAGCGTGCCTCCTCTCCGGGCGACGGCAGAGCTGCCCCCAGCGGAGCGCCCTGCGGCCCCCGCTGC